GATTTGCTAGTTACAAGGAGAGCCCTAAGTATATATCCTAAAGATGATGGTGATGAGGAGTAACGTGAGTATATTTTTCACACAAGATGTCATGTGAAGGATAAGGCATGTACTATGATTATTGATAGTGGAAGTTGTACTAATGTTGCTAGTACGTTGTTGGTAGATAAGCTGAATTTGCATACCATAAAGCATCCTAAACCATACAAATTGCAATGACTGAATGAATGTGGAGAAGTGAGAGTAACCAAGCAAGTTCTGGTTTCCTTTTCAATTGGCAAGTATGAGGATGAGGTTCTATGTGATGTGGCACCAATGCATGCTGGTCATATATTGCTTGACCGACCATGGCAGTTTGATAAGAAAGTTACACATGATGGGTATAAAAACCGTTATTCTTTTGTAATGAATAACCGAACTATTGTACTAACCCCTCTCAAACCTTTGCAAGCTTATGAAGATCAGATTAGGATAGCAAGAGAGTGCAAAATGAGAGAAGAACAAAAGTGTGAGAAAGAGGAAAAGAAAAAGAAAGAAAGTGAACAAGCAAAAGCAGAGAGAGCAAGTGAGACCGAGAGGAAAAATGCAAGTGGAAAGAGTGAGGCCGAGAGAAAAATTAGAGAGAAAAGTGTACAAAAGGGAGAGAAAAAGCAAGGGAATGAGTGCATTTGCTGAAAAAAAATGAGATTAACAGTGTCATGATTGCAAGGCAGCAACTACTTGTACTTATGTACAAGGATGTTTACTTTTCTACTAATGTCCTAAACCCCTCTTTGCCTAGTATTATTGTGTCTTTATTGCAGGAGTTCGATGACCTATTTCCCGAGGAGATTCCCCATGGATTACTTCCCTTAAGAGGTATTGAGCATCAAATAGACTTCATACCCGGTTTCGCCATACCAAATCGACCTGTTTATAGAGATAGTCCCGAGGAAACAAAGGAGATACAAAGGCAAGTGAATGAGTTGGTGCAAAAGGGTTTTGTAAGGGAGAGTCTTAGCCCATGTTCGGTTCCTGTCATCTTAGTCCCAAAGAAAGATGGGATATGGCGTATGTGTGTGGACTGCCGAGACATTAACAAAATAACAGTTAAGTATAGACATCATATCCCTAGATTAGATGATATGCTTGATGAATTGCATGGTTCTTGTTTGTTTTCTAAAATTGATTTAAATAATGACAACATTTATTATCAAATTCGCATGAAAGAGGGAGATGAATGGAAGACAACATTTAAAATTAAATATGGATTGTATGAGTGGTTAGTAATGCATTTTGGTTTAACTAATGCACCTAGTACATTCATGAGGTTAATGAATCATGTCTTGCGTGCTTTCATAGGGAAATTTGTGGTAGTTCACTTTGATGATATTTTAGTTTATAGCAAAAATTTGGATGAATATGTGAAACACTTGCATGTTGTTTTTAGTGTGTTAAGAGAGCACCAATTGTATGCTAATCCTAAGAAGTGCACGTTTTGCATGGAATCTGTTGTGTTTCTTAGATTTGTTGTTAGTTCGCAAATTAGTGTTGATGAAGAGAAGGTAAAGGCAATAAGGGACTGGTCTACACCTAAGAATGCGAACGAGGTAAGAAGTTTTCATGGTTTAGCAAGTTTTTATCGAAGGTTTGTTAAGGATTTTAGTTCTATCGCTACACCTTTGAATAATTTGTTAAAAATAATGTTGTTTTTAAGTGGGATGAAGTGCATGATCGAGCTTTCAAAACTTTGAAAGATAAGCTAACTAATGCACCTTTGTTGTGTTTGCCTAACTTTGATAAAGCTTTKGAGGTAGAATGTGATGCATCTGGAATTGGAATAGGGGTTGTTTTGATGCAAGATTCCAAACCAATTGCTTATTTTAGTGAAAAGCTAAGTGGGTCAGCCTTGAATTATCCTACTTATGATAAGGAACTTTATGCATTAGTGAGGACTCATCAAACATGGCAGTATTATTTGTGGCCAAGGGAATTCATCATTCGTTCTGATCATGAGAGCTTAAAGTTCTTGAAATCCCAAGGTAAGCTTAATAAAAKGCATGCTAAGTGGTTGGAGTTCATATAAACGTTTCCTTATGTGATCAGGTACAAACATAGAAAGGAAAATGTTGTTGCTGATGCATTATGTAGGAGTTAATAGGACACTCACTACTTTGTTGCGTGCTATCATTCAAAAGAACTTAAGGCAGTGGGAGACCTGTTTACCACATATTGAGTTTGCATATAACAGGTCTGTACATTCTACTACTTCTTTTTCACCTTTTGAAGTTGTTTATGGCTTTAATCCTTTAACTCCTGTGGATATTTTACCTTTGCCTACTAATGAACATGCTAATCTTGATGGTAAGAAAAATGCAGCTTTTGTAAAGGATTTACATGCCAAGGTTCGGACTAACATTGAAAGGAAGAATGAGCAATATRCTAAGCAAGCTAATAAGGGRCGTTTGAARGTTRTTTTTGAACCTGGAGATTGGGTTTGGGTGCACATGCGTAAGGAGAGGTTTCCTACACAAAGGAAATCAAAATTGCAGCCTAGAGGAGATGGACATTTTCAAGTCTTGGAAAGAATCAATGATAACGCCTACAAGCTAGATTTGCCAAGCAACTATGGTAATGTTAGTGCGACTTTTAATATTGTTGATTTATCTTTATTTGATGTAGGTGATTCGAGGATGAATCCTTTCGAGGAAGGAGGGAATAATGGAGATTGAGGTGCTGACTAAATGGCTCAAGCTAATATTCCCAAATATTTTCAATATCCTTTGCAAGGAATTGGTGATCCATTGACTATGGCAAGGACAAAGAGGATGAAAGAGGCTTTACAAGGCTTAATAATGGAAGTGCATGACAAAGAGGCTATTCTAAAAGATTCTAAGACTGTTCTAGAAGTTTCCAAAGCTTCACCAAGGATAATCACCTATCTTTATGTGCAAAACGATGTACAAGGCTTAGATCTTGAAGAACAAAGCTTGGAATCAATGACATAAGACCAATGTGCATGGACATGATAAGAAAAAGGCCCAATCCGCATGCTAAGGTGTATTGATGGGCTTGGCGCATGGACATGATAAGAAAATGCCCAATTCGCATGCTAAGATGTATTGATGGGCTTGTTTTTGTCTTGTTGGGTTTGTTTTGTCTTGTTTTGTTTACTTTAACTTTTCTATGCTTAGTTGTCATTAGTTATAGTATTTTAAAAGGATTATTATTTCAAGGTAAATTTGTTTTCCTAAATTAAAGGGATCCTCATTAGTTAAGAGTTTCCTTATAAGATAATGATGTTTACATGCCTATATAAAGGCCATAACTATGTAAAACGAGTTCATCAATGATATAGAGATATTTTTAGAAAGCATAGCTTTGCCTTCTTGTTCTTGGTAGAATACAATATCTTGACTTATCAAGGGAGTGATCAACATTTGTGACATCTTCAAGATTTGATTCTTTAAGGACTTAGTTTCCTTAAAGTTATAATCTGATCAACTACAGTTTGTTTTCTAGCTTCTTGGTGCGCATAACAACTTGATTCAAGAGTTCCTAAAGCAGGTCGTCTAGTGGGTTTTTATCAGTTTTTTTTTTTTGTTATTTGAAGAAACGGGAATGGGATTCCGATTCCTGGGGGGTGGGTCGGGAATGGCCATTCCCTCAAATGGGGGATTGCCATTCTGCTTGGAATGGGAATCGGATTCCAATTCCGCCCAACCAAACATTTGGACATTCCGATTCCGATTCTAGACCCCTATTCCTGCGAACCAGACTAACCCTAAATTTCTAACATAAAGGGCAAACCACCCAAACTATTCAACCCGAACGGTCAAACCGTTCACTCAAAAGCTGATGATCAAAGCAGTTTGGTGTTCGGATTGATTTTTAAAACCTTGTCTGAAATAGTAAAGATTCTTGGATTCAAAGGGTTCTTGTGTGTCATCCTTAGAATTTTTTTAATATTACACACAAGAAAAGGGTATTATGGTAACTTTGCAATTATAATGTCCTCAATCTTCATACTTAATGGGCTTAACAACTGGCAAAATCTTGAGGAAAAGCCATCAATAATGACCTTCAACACATAATAAGTTGGAATGAAGAGGATATTGGTTTTTTAGTATTCAGGTTGGTAGTTTCTTGGAATCTAGATCTATGTTGCACACAACTTCAACATGCCATATAGGAGTTTGCAAAAAAAAAAAAAAAATCCATACAGGGATTAAGGGGTCGAGATAGAGTAGGGAGCATCCCTACCCTAAATAATTTGGAGCTTGGATTTCCTGCCCACAACGATCCTACCAATCGGACGCTATAGCTGTATATTGGTAACATCTTCAAGGTGTGTCAACGGTATTCGAAAATCTAATTTTGAATTTGATATTCGATATAATCGAATCGAATTCGAATAATTCAAATATCTAACCAGTCGAATTCGGATATTCTATTCTCACTGAATACTTACTCGGATTCGAATTTGGATATGACCTGATTTGATTCGATAAATATTCGAATTCGATCGATTATTTAATTCTTATATATAATATATTAAATATTTTATATAATTTATATATAATAATTAAGTTATATAAATAATTTATATATTTTATATCAATAGAATATTTATTTTATATATTTACTAATTATCTAAAATAATTAATTAGTCGAATCGAATATTCGAATATTTAATCGGATTCGAATTCAGATATTGCCTGATCTGATTCGAATTCAATCCGTTTACACCCCTAACATCTTCCATGTTTATATGTTACCACTCTCATGGGAGATGTTCTCAATATACAATTGTAGTGTCTTGTACGTAGGATCATTGTGGGAAGGAGATTCTAATTTATTAATAGTCTATTTGGTTGCTCAGAATTAGATGGGATGGGAATAATCTTTAAAGAATATTCTTATTTTCAATTTTCATGTGCTTATTTTGAAAAAAAAAAACTGGGATGGGACTAGAAAGGAGTTCAAATCAGCCCCCCACAAGACTGTCCCCATTCCAATTATTATCATTGTGAGGGGGGCAGTTTCGTGAGGGGCTGATTTGGTCTCCCCAGAGTAACGGGATCTGCTCCTCACGAATGGGCATCTTAGGGAAACATCGACCGTGAAACATCTCTCATGAATAATAATTAATAAGTATGGAAGATGTTCTAAATGCATGATCGGATGTGCGTGTGAGGCGCGAGGTGTGAAAAGCAGATCCGGTCTTTATGTGGTGTGACCCCACTTCCTCTCACATGCCGTCCAACAGTCTTCTCGCCAATGCCAATCTCCGGCCATTTCTTTCGATCAGATTTGCAATCCTCTTGCGATTTACATCCACTTTTATACCATTTTAGTTCCCATTCGAATCTCACCGTCCTCTACTTCTATGCTAGTCCAAACCAATCTCCATTGCCAGAAAACATCTGAACTGCCATTCAACGTGTTCATTTAAACATTGGAGCTCTAGATCTGGCTTCCAGCGTTTGCCTCATCCAGATCTGGTGTTTTACTGATACCAAAATGTTCCAGTCTCTACCGACTTGTTCTGGTATGACGTCTCTCGTTTTTCTACCATTAAAGGATAGATGGGCTTTGTCTCATGGTACAAATTTAGGTCTGTTATAGATTTGTTGTTTTATTTTTTATTTTCAGTTCCAGCATTTTATTATGTCATAATACTTGATCTTAGATCTACATTTTTTTTTTCATTTTTTGGTGTGTTTCAAGTCATCTCAAGGCAACCCACGCAAGGGATTTTCAGGCTTAGGTACTGAGATCTATTTAGAAGCATATGGATTTTGTTTCAGTGAATGAGATCTATTTAGTCATTTGGTAGGTTGTGTCAGTTTTTTTAGGATTTTTGGAGTGCTTGTAGGACTGATCAAGGGGTTTCTTTGGAATCAAGGGGTTTATTTCACTCTCCTCATCCCTAGATTTGACAACAATCTCATCAGTTTATTTGACATCTATTTCTACTTAATTGTCATCTAAGAAGAGTGAAAACATTTTCTGGAGTTCAACAAGTTAGATTAAGATAGGAGCTTAGGTGAACATTTAGTTAGACCTCTGGGGGGGGGGGGTTGATTTCTCAGAGAGTGAAATTATCTTTTTGGTGGGCTTTTGATCTCTCAGGTGAATATTTAGTTTTCTCTATGGTAACTAGTTTGATTATCTCTTAGAAGTACTAATTTTGAAGAATCAGTACAATGTTCTTGAGGTATCTCTGGTGATTCTATTATATATAGTTTCAATCTTCTGCTCTGTTATTGGTTTGTCTTTTCCATTATAAACTTGTGATTTGATGACTTGGGTTTTGTTTATTGTTTAAATATTGGTGTTTCTTCCATTTTGTGGTATATTATTTTCCTTTCTGCAGGTTAATTTTTCTCATCTGTGTTTCCTATGCTTGAATAATAGTGAGAATGCCAACCACCATTTCCCATCTTGTTCTTACATAATTGCAATATAGAACTGAATTTCCCTCCGGAGCCTCTTGGTTGTTGCCTAATGACATAGAATTTCTAAAATGAATAGAATTTCTGGAGCCTCTTGAATGGCTTCATCTTTATTAAGTTCCCTTGAGTCTGAAATGAATAAAATTTTTGAAATTTAAAACTTTGATCACTCTGCAAAACTAATATCTTTTAAGACAATTATAAACTATACATGACTTGACTCTCAAGAAAAACAAGCTGCCTGAACATGGAGCCATTCAAGCTGAACAGAAGCCCAAATTTGGTCCAATCTGTAGCCCATAATTAGACCCAATACGTGGCGCCCCAACTGAGATCTGATATGCATTCAGGTCCATGATTAAGAAAATGGGTTGGTCAGCAGGTCCGTGATTCAAGGGGCTTTTAAAACAAAATAGACTTGTTTTTGCTTCAAACCAGAATTAAAGAACACATTTTATATTTTAATTTGAGACAAAACACATTTCTATGTTTTTTTAGAAACAATTCATTTTCAAGCAAGTTGGTTTAATTTGTTTTTGAAGCTCACAAAAACAATTCACTTTGAAAAATATCCTCTTAGTTCTCCAGTTATTATTTGAACATTTTTAAAGTAGGGTGATCTAGTGTCATTGTTGTATTTGGTAGGTACATGTATTATTGAAAACCAATAGAATTTCTGAAATGGGTAACTAACGTACCAACTGCTTAATAAGACAATTATAAACCAGCTTATCTTAAGACAAGTGTGAAATCAAATTCAGAATAATCCATTTTCTTTCCTTACCTCAAGTAACAAGTCACCAATATGTCAATGTTGCAAAGAACTAAAAACTCCTTGTGCCGACCTTTAATACAAGAAGAAATTCCACAAAGTGAAGCTTACAAGCCTTGGCCCTCAACTTTTAATAGGTGGGTGTCAAGGGTAGTGATGATCAACCAAACCTGATTGTGATTTCAAGCTTTGTCCAAAGGGAGTACAAGGTTGCATGCTGCTATATCCCCAAGTGTCATACTTGAAGAAAAGCTTATGGTTATGGGCTTTAAACATTTTCAGCAAAGGGGGACACAAACCACTCAAAAAACAGAGAAATTACACCAAATGACCAAACACATGTCAACATAGAAAGAGAAAACCTATCAGTTTGGCTATCAACAGCATAAAATGGAGTTATTTTATATTGCTGAGCTTTTTTTTTTCCAGCTCAGATCCTAATTAAATGAGACAAAAGCCTATAAGTCAAGGGAAGAACAAACTACAAACGTAACTTTTTTTATCAACTATTCAAGGTTTAGATATATGAGTTTATGAGAAACGATTAAAAAACTACTGAGCTTATAAGAGCTCTGCAATCATGTTTATTAGAATGGGACAAGCTGAAACATTATTATTACTCATCTTTGTTGATTTGAAGTTTAAAAATATTGGCATAATAGATAGATTCTAAAAAACAAATGCAATATAATGAAGTGAATATCTGTTTATTAATGTGGTTAGTAATGATGTTACTGATGGTTGTTTAAAGCACATCACCCTGAAATTCTAGAATGCACACCCAAAATAGTGTACCTTGACATTTGGAATTATCCTATTCTCTATCTCTAAAGGCCATATGTATTTTCTCTAGAATAGTGTTAGCCATATTGGTTTACAGTTATATGTTTATTGAAGTAGAAAAGAGAGCAAACAGCCTCAAAGTTTTAGTTTTAACCTAGTGAGCTAGCTTTATTGCGACCAGGTCAAGAAGTCAAGAGGACAAGATCATCAAAAAAGATAAAGCACTAAACATAATTCTTTGAAAATTCATTGTGTTCAAAGGCGGATCAGGAATATATTTCACGTGGACAGAGTGTAATGCTCAAGTGTATAGGTTTAACGGAGCTATTTTTTGCTTGTATAGCACCTATGAAGAGGCAGTATTTCAGTTGCAATAGTACCAGTGCAATATGTATCCAATACCCCAACACCCAATAGTTGGAAACACCTTTAGGATCCATGTAAAGAATACCGACACAGAGGTGAAGGCATCAAAAGAACCCCATTCGCAACCACTAGTAGTTCTTATGTTGGTAGTCAGTTTGATGGTTATGTCGATCTTATACTTGTTTAAATGATGGTTGCAAATATTTGGTTGTTACGAACCTAGTAAACCAACTGAGGACATTTGTGTTTGATGGAATTGTTATGTTAACTATTACAGGTAGGCTATTGTCTTTAATACATACGAGTTATTAATTGTCCCATATCAACATGACACGTGGCAATGTTCAAATACTATTATGCCATTGTCATTCCAAAAACAAGTCTTGTGTTGTCGAATCGGAGATTACATGCATCATTCGTTAATATGGAATGAATCCAACCATCCTACAAAATTTTCTCAACAACGAGACACTAGGAAGCCGATTTAGTAGGATAATTGGTCTCAACAACCAACACAGTTGGCAGAATTGAGAAAATAAATTTTCCCTTCTCATCCCATCGGACCCATCCTTTCCCATCCCATCCCATCAAATCTCATCCTTTCTTGGCAACCAAACGGTCCATAAAGGAATTAAATACACCAATATTAAACAAGACTTCAAATATCGATGCACACACAATACATGGCATATGGTATCCATTTCCAAGAGGTGGAATAAAAGAATTCACATTTGATTCCATTTGCACCTCTCCACATCAATTGTAGAGTGCACTATCTATATGAATTTTTGTGCAAGTTATAAGTGTTAAATTTAATAACATAATATTAACTTATATCTTTCCCCTTGTACACATGAATAACATGCCTCCTTTTATTCTACTTTCTCGCACACGTGTATATTTATTTTTAAATGAAATCATTAAAAATATAATAAGGCAAAATTAAAATCCTCATGAGTCTTCATTGTCTTTCATAAAATCCATTTTACTCTCTAATAAGACCATAAACCATTCTTCTCTCTCTCTCTCTCTCTCTCTCTCTCCTTAATAGTCAATGTTTGTAACATCTCCCCTCCCCATTAAATCCCTCTTTTCCTCTTAAATCTCTTTTAGTCCCTTTTGTCTATCTAATAAAGTAGTCGTGTAGATTAAATGGATTGGGTTAGTTTTAGGGTTAATCTAAATATGAACCCTAGCAACTAATGTCAAAATCCAAGTTTTCTCACCAGTAAATGGGATGAACCAATTTTCTTCTTATATAAAGGTCTAAAGAGACCGCTTCTCCTTGCTATGGGTTATTGGGTTTTTCTATTTACATCGGTATTTGGTATTTATCGGGAAATTTTAATTTAGTTATTTTTAGTGGTTTCATAAACTAATTTTCATGTTTTTGGTGATTTAATTTCGTGAAAGTTAATTTAAAAAAATAATTTACTGAAATTTTTTATATTTTCAGTAATTAATTATTCATAAATTCAGAAATTTTTGAAATTTTGAAAAAATTTTTCATGTAAGTTCAGAAATTTATTCATATCAATATTTGTACTAAGGATTTTTAAAATATTAAAGTTTTTCTTTCTATTTTTATTTTTCTGTTGTGCAAACAATATATATATATATATATATATTATTAATTTAGTTAGTTTTAAACATCCATGCTGAAGTGTCAATTTGTTAGTTGGTAAGGTCTCCTGCTACTTGTAGCAAAGACTTCGGATCAAATTCAGTTTGCACTAGGGTTGGGGGGCTTTATGAGTTTGGGGGATGACCTCCCGGTTATTTGGTTACATGATTTTTTTGTTAGTAATCTCTATTAATTGTCTACTGACTAAAAGATTTTTAAGAGTTTTTTTTCCTTGCAGACTATTTTATTTCTCTCTTTTATTCGAAGCTTTAGGTTCTAAACTTTTAGATGGTTTGAAAAAAAAAATCCTTTCAAGAAGTATATATGTAAGACTACTTTAAAATATTTGAATATAAATCCCTCTAATGTTGATTTCAATTAACCCCTCTAAACACTATTATATTCGTAGGATTTGTTTCAAATGTTTGAATATAAATATATTTCTTAATTTTATTGTTTCATGTGTTAATTCATGAAACTTTTTTTTTTTTTGCTGCAAGTGTTAATTCATGAAACTTAGTTCATTTATTTTGGACCATTTCCTACTTTACTTTGAAAAAAACAAGAACATTAACTTATCAAGAGAAGAAAAAACAAGAACATTTTTAATGTGTTTCTAGGACCTCTTAGCTTTCCAGCCTTTTCTTTCATTTAAATATTTTGTTTTATGCATATTTTCTTCATCTTATTGTTAAATTAACTATATTTATTATTTTCCAATTAAATTTTGTGTATTGATTATATTAGATTGTGATGATATGTTTACCACATGGTAGCATATATATGGGCTACCTGCATATGAATCTTTTTCATCATGAGATGTTCTTTTTGGTCTTAAAATGAGATTCTTTTTTTCTTTTTTTTTTTTCTTTTTATAAATGAATTGAGACTAAAGGTGTTGAGAGGGGATTTTGGATTCTTTCCTTCCAACATATTGGGGTTTAATTGTTTTAAGCGGAATTCATTTTGGTTTTTTGAAAAAAAAAACTTTTATGACTTCTCGTTTTATTTTTATTTTAGAAATGATGTTGAAGTATCAATTTCATAGGTGACACAATTTCGTTGGGATTTTTATAATTGTCCATAGATAGGCTCTTATTTTTATTTTAGTAAGCTTTATTAAGGGCTGACATCTTGATATCACAAGATAGGCTTATATGGTCAAATTGAAACTTTTAAACTTGCATATTCCTGTTTTGTCCATCCATTCGCTATAGCCAAATGCAATGTTTTTCTATGAAGCATCAGATTGGGAACCCACTTGCTAAGCCCATTGGATTTTACTTTGGGCCTAAATTTCTTTCATCAGTGGCTGGGCATGGGTTTGGTGGTTTGATCGTTTCCTTAGACAGCCCAGTAATCTCACTTGTGGCATCTTACTTTGGAGCTCAAAAGGAGTCTTCATTCATTCCTCTATTGACATCTCATGCATTATTTATGGAAATTAAAACTTTGTGCACTTCGTGATTTATTCAAAATATTTAAAAAAAAAAACACCTCTTGAGAGATATTCCTACACATGGAATGGTTCAAGAGCAGGGAACACTACAACATCTTATGATGCCTGAATTTAGCGCTGTTTGCATTCTATATATTTATATGTACTCTTTCCAAATTGAGCCTTGGACTGTATTTGGTTGTAATGCAAATAAAGTTGCAATGATTTGAGTGTAAATTCTGATCTAATTTTGTTTCAAATTTTAGCTTGTTTTGTTTGACTGTAGTACAAATAAAGTAAATTAAGATATGAATAAACAGAATTAATAAAGTAAAACCCAAAACAAAATTAAGCAAAAATTTGCATTTTCTTTTTCATTTGTCTCCCATACATTTGTACTAATGCAAATAAAATTACACTGCAACCAAACGCAGCCTTAGGCTCAGTTTGGAAGGAATACAAATACAAATTTGTACTCCCATACATTTGATTATTTGCCTACCATCACTAGGCAAGGGAACAATGATAATGTCATCATCCTTCTATTTGGTTATTGTTTTTACTTTCTTCACATTAAAATATTAAATTGTTCTTTTTTCTTTTTCACTTTGGAAATCTTTCGCAGGTGATAGGGCAAGTCATCTGACAATCAATCTTCACTTGAATACAGATCAACAAGCAAAAAAAAAAAAAGTCCTCCCCAGTTCTTTCCTTTGTTATTAATTCTAGGGAGAACGACGGTTCAGCCCAGAGTCAGAATTTTTAGGCCCAGAGTATAGTTGGGGTAGGCGTCAGTTCGGAATTGGTGTCAATTCACGAGCGGGCATTGGTGTATAGAATGGGCGTATTTGACATTTTGAATTTTTATAAATCTGCAGTAGAATTCAGAAATCTGAAATGGGCTTGTCCGTATTTTTCCGTTAATTCTATTATTATTGGGAAATGTACATTTACTATATTAAAATCTAAAAGTCATGCTTCTAAATCCTTTGCTAATTTTGATTTGGTTGTGTAGGGAAAAATAATCTCTCATTTTTTTCTTCATTGGGTAACAGAGATATTATCATAATTGCTTTAAGTTTTTTGTTCTTTAGGCTCAGTTTGGAAGGAGTATAAATACAAATATGTAGAGTGAAAAACCTTGTATTTTGTATGTATTTGCACCGTACATGTTTTGCATTTGTACTCTTTCCAAACTGAGCATTAATTTTATTAAATATTTCATTTTAATTCTTTCGTGTTCATCTCTGTTCATTGCATGGGTTCTCTGCTAATACATTCTCATTTCTATCCATAAAACATATACTTAATTTCATATACTTAAATGATTTTTTTGAAGCAATAAATGATTAAATTATATATTGAAGTACAATGGAATACCTTGACAATAACTATTTTTAAAATTTTTATGCGACAAGACAAGAATCCTTTTATCTACTTAATATTAAAAAAAAAAGGTAGAAGATACTAACAATTTCTCCCCTATACCCTTTCCTTTACATTTGGAGTTTTAGACCATCATAGCAGACCAAACAACTCAATTTAAATTGACATTTAATTTATGTTTATCAAACTTACTTGTTACTTCTGTGTAAGTTGCCATCTATTCTTTTGGATGGATTAGGTTGGGTGGAATTTATATAGTAGAAATGCAAACAACTTAGGCTGTGTTTGGTTGCTGTGCAATTTTATTTGCACTAGTATAAATGCACGGGAGTGCAAATGTAAAAAATGCACATTCTTGTTTAATTCTATTTTAGATTTTATTTTATTTTGCTTCATGTCTTAATTAATTTTATTTGTACTGCAATCAAACAAAATAAACTAAAATTTGAAACAAAATGGATCAGAATTTACACTCAAATCATTTATACTTTCATGGTTTTGCATCAGTGCAAATTTATTTGCATTGCAACCAAACACAGCATTAGGCTTCATTTTTTGCACCATACATATTTGTATTTGCACTCTTCCCTTTGTTTAGGGTGTGAATTTCATTTGCACGGTGTAAATGCATGAAGGTGCAAATAATTTGTGTAAATTCTGAGGTTTTATTTTAACAAAAACCTCCTCTGTAATAAGGACTTTAAAGTTACAAAATTACCGTAATTACTATTTGTTAGGAAATCTTTTAATATAATCAAAATGTCAGATTAGCCCCTTTATACTTCACTCAATCATCATGAGTTTACAAAATTAAATTACTTTACTCTTTAATTTGACCCAGGGAAATTTTTTAATTAAGTATTTTAGTAAATTTCCATCTAAATTGATAAACATAAGGGTAAAATGGATATTTTCAAAAGCATTAATGCATTAGTCAAATTTTTCTAGCTGGGACAATGATAGAGCGAGGTAAATGTACGATTTTTCAAAACTATAGGAGAGGTTTTTGTTAAAATGAAACTTTATGAAAGGTTTTTATAATTGTTAGAAACCTCGAGGGTGGTTTTTATATTTTACCCTAATATTTATTGCCAAGCCGACAGGATTATAGGCCCGTTGAGGGGGTATTCGGCATCGTGTTCATCTCCACGAGATGAACACTCGTCCTGCTGGCTGTGCACTGGTTCCGTCCACACCCCAATTTCTCATCCATGGCAAAATCTCGTGGTTAGGGTCCGTCTACACTCAATTTTTGATCCCCTATTTCACACTTTCCCTGAAAGGCTTAAAACCCTATTGTCTGTTTCACATTTTAATATTTATGTCAATAAAGTATTAATTATTTTACTTATTTTTTATTTTTTTTTGTAAATTTTAATACTTTTATCAATAAAATAATATTTTTAAATATTTAAAAAATATATTTTTTAAATTTTAATTATTTTACTATTGTTTTTATAAAAAAATTAATATTTATTGGTTAATATTAATTCATTGATGCATTTTCCAATATATTTATCATATAAAATGCAAAAATTAGATATCTATGGTTAAATGTATAGATTAAGGTTTTCAAACCGTTATGGTTAGACCATTCGGCCCGGGAACCGTCCAGGCAAGCGGTTCCGTTTTACCCCAAACTCGGTTTTTGTCCAAAAATCGTTGAAAAAGTCAACAACCCATTGACCCAAGCGTTCAAACCGTCGACTCGTTGACCCGTTCAACGGTCTTTTATTGTTTTTTATATTTAATTAATTAATTTGTTTGTCAGAACAGGTCGTTCGTTTGAATCAGATGGTCGGACCATCGACCCTAAACCAGTGGTCCGAATGGTTCCGTTTCTGGGTCGTTTTAAAAAACGTTGGTGTAGATCATTCATAAATGTATATGAGATACATTGAATAAAAATGTGTGGTGTGGACTGGTTTACATCACACCTACACTATGGGTATAGACTAATATAATCCACACAATTTGTCCAAAATTCAGAACAATTGTGAATTGTGATATAGTATGAATTGATCTCTACCACATAATGTGGTGTGGACCAGTCCACACCCACCAATTTCTTATCTACACTACATAACATCCCTTGAATGAATTTGGACCAGCCCAATTAAGTTTTAAGTCTAGCCAAAACCTGACACATGAGTAGATGAGCTGGTGTCAGTCCTTTATTTTATTTTAATTTTGTGAGCAGTAATTCCTTTAATTAAGATCACTGAGAACTCTATCTCCTTGAATCGCTTTCTCCAGTGGTTTGGGTGACAAACCGGTTAATAAACCCATATATCCCGCCTCAAGTTCTGCTCCCCTGCAAGTATGGCTAGTTCTTATGGTCAGCCTTGGATTTTGGGTCAGCTCTAGGTTTGAAATTCCCCCCGGGCGTTGAGTACCCAAATATACTAATAATAATAATAATAATAATAATAATAATAATAATAATAATAATAATAATAATAATAATAAAATCATACCAATCTAAGAGGGTAAATTATTTGGAAGCTGAGTACCCAACCCTGTGGAGAGTAGACCTATGCCAGTATATTTTTTCAAGTCTTTTGCAATTAAATCCCACTTCTTTCCATAATTAGGTGCATGCCTACTGAAAGGCTTAGTTTGGAAAGAGTACAAATGCGCAAATTTTATACAAAATATAAGGTTTTGCATTTGTACTCCTTGCAAACTAAGCTTAATGACTCGTCCACTCAGGCACTCGATTATCCCATCGGGGTTGCTTTTCCCTGGTAGGTATCATTATTTTAATTATATAAACATGGTTCAAAGTATTGAAACACTTGATCTTGATACTTATTTTACTTATTTTTAATTTTTTAGCTTCATACTTTATAAATATATCATGATTATTATAATTTAAAACTATTAATAAATCTGGTTTTATGTATTTCACATATATGACCCTTAAAATAACTGATGCGTATAACAATTATGTATTAATCCGTTGCGATATTTTGAATTATGATTATAAAGAACAATTTGACAGAGTATGGATCACCTACATTTAGACACTTTATATTAAGGTCTTGTTCGTTTTTCAAAAGGCCATTTGCCTGGGTAAGTGCACTTATACAATAAATGTTACGTAACACTTACCCATGTTCTTTTGATTCCTATATAAATAATATAATATCTTTTTATCCATAAAAAATCAATATTAAAATAGACGAGTTTGTCCCATTTTGTTTTATAAATTTTCCCTAAGTGGGAAAGTTATTTAACCACCTGAGAAATGAATAAATTTTATCCAGATAAATGAAATTAACTTTACCCGAATAAATGGGTAAACTGTAAAGTTGGCCAATGGATATCACTTTCCCATTAACCAGTTTACCCCTCTTATTTACTAGAAAACGAATGGGGCCTAAGGCATGTACTACCCAAAAAAACAAAATAAAACCTTTCCTTCCTACCCAAAAAACAAATAAAAAGAAAAGAAGCAATGAATTGAAAGCATGCTCCCAGTAATCAGATTGAAATATTAATGGAGCCAAAAACATTTGTTATCCACATTCATGTGGTCTCTTGGACTCCAGACTGGTTTCTGAGTCTCATGAGCAAAGAGATTGGTGTGGATGAAAGCAACATAAATGAGTTCAAAAATAATCTGAAGCCTCAGTTTGGAAGGAATACAAATGTAAATATTTAGAGTGCAAAACTTTGCATTTTGTATTTATTATGTATGTATTTGTACTCTTTCCAAACTGAGCCGAAATGATAATGCAGGAAGGATGAATAATTAATCACCCTGGTAAGGAAGCTTCCATGAAGTTAGACTAACAAGGCCATCAACAATCAGCTGGATTCAATGTATTGCATTTTTTTTTCTTTCTTTTGAAGGGCTACACAATGGGGTTAATCCATCCCCAACTCAGGTGCAGGCGGGATTCGATCATAAGTCTCCACTACGACTAACAAGAACCAACCAGCTGAGTAGAACCTTGCAATTCAATGGATTGCATTAATTTAGGATGTCCCCATGTGGGACTATAGAAATCAAATTGTCTAGAACTCAATATACGGATATAGAATTAGCTTAGGAAAGGAAACCATCCAAGCTAAGACAGATCAAGCTGTTTGGCTAACTACATGCATTAACCTTGAGCATGGCCTCAGTTCAGGGGCTGATGTCTAGTAGACAGAGAAACTAAACTTTCACGTTAAGAAATTAATAACTCAATGACCCAGATTAGTAGCTGATATCTTACCCAACAGCGGATATAACTAAATTTTTAATTGGTGGATGTTTCTTTAAGATAGATGTTAGTCTGCTTGATTGGTTAGAGATCAAATATTCCAAATTTGCTAGTTACCTATATATAGTTTGTATCCAGATTTGCTAGTTACCTATCTATTTTATTAGTTATTAATTTTTTATTTATAATTAATTATTAATTATTATTTTAAATTTTATAAATTATTTTATATGAAATAGTACAAATTGAGCTCAAAATTATCAAATAGTCTATTMTAGGAGTAAAATAGTAAAATCAAGGAATTTCAGATGTTAAAGGTTTGATCCAACACAGAAGGTTTAGTATTCAGAGCCTCTAAAAAGTAGAAAAGCATTTATGCCTCTTT